CTTGGAATGACTCTGATACCTTCCAAAACCCTCAGTGACTAAGCCTCAAAGTCTTTAAAAAAAATGCCTCCTAATTCGACGCCGGAGAGTAAAGTTCGAGTAGGTGTATTCTCGAAAAACATTCTCAACAACATTTTCGAATTGCAACACCCTATATTTTTATATTTTTTATTTCAGTACTGTCTGCTTTATTATTATGCCTGTCAATGTGTTGAGATACTGCCTTAGAAAATGCAGCAGAAAAAACATCGACAAAATTAAGCATTTAACACAGGTGCAGTAAGAACCATAATAAGTGCACATACACGCACGCACACACACATGCATATCCAAAAGCACAAGAGGAAATGCAGGTACATGAAGGGCCAGACGCGCATTCCTGAGACTGGCAACACGCTAACATTTTCGCACTGATCAAAATGTAAAATTAAAAATATATTGAAAAGGCGTGACAATAAATGCCGGCTTGACACATAACACAGAAAATTTACGAATATTTAATACCCATTTTGCTATTTATGAGAAGGCGCTAACACAAGTCATACAGCGCCCTGCGAATGGTAGGCTATCAGGTCTGATCCGAGAAAGTGGAGAGTAGTTATAATTCCTTTGACCAAGATCTCACCGTCATCAAGGCCCCTCCTGAAGGGATTAAACACCCTAATGCTATATGAATGACGTACATCAAGTAAATCTAAGAATGTCGTGTTAAATTAACTCCAATAATCTTTGTTGTTGTTTCTATATTGAAGAATTACTCGTACCGTTTCAACCAAATATGTTGAGGAGGTTCTTGAGTAGTAAAGAAAGGGAAGGCGTGCAAGCATATGTTAAGATAGTCATTAAGGCTTCGAGAGAAGCGTGCGACTTTCCATGCAAAACGAAAGAGATGGGTGGTGCATAATCTCGGGATTCCTTTTTTCCTTTTAAGCTACACACGATGCACAGCAAAATTATGCTTGTCTGTGCTACAATCTGACTTAGAGGTAAGGTAAAAAATATGATTTATGAAGAATAGCTTAGAGCACTGAATTTGTCATCTTTCGCTGACGGGAGAAAGATATAAGAACTACATTCTAGATTATAATAGGATACGAAAGAATTAACAAGGCTTCTTAAACCCATTAAATGTTAGAACAACAGACTATAACTATTAATTCAAATAGAAAGGATGCTGAAGGGATATCAAATAGTTGTTCTTCACAGACTTACTACAAATAGGTAATTACACATCTAATTTAGTTTAATGAAGACCCTTAATATAATCCCGCGTGCGGGTGTAATTCACCACCAAAGTAATTACGTACATGAGATTACATTTAGGGTCTCCATCTAAAAAAAAAGTAAATTGACTGATCAATGGAAAGTGGCCAATAAATAAAAAGGCGACTGATAAATCCTTTTAAATTATACTTAAAAATACAAGATAATGGCAAACTTTGGCGCTTCACACCATGAGCTGTACTCCAATGAGGAAAAACAAAAAAGGATAACACGAGAGGACGGCTTTATTTAAATAGTGATAGCAAAGCAATAACATTGAAATGACTTAATGTATTTCGTCAAATAAAAAACTGCCCCTAAAATTATATATTAGTCGGCATATCAAACTGTACACGCAAAGTTGTTTATAGGAGTTATATGTGGTACAAAAGTAAATCAATACCTATAAAGTATAGATTAAAGTACAGCACTTACGACATTTTGTTAAAGAAACCTATTGCCCAGCAAGGTGAATCTTACTGGTTGAAAAAAAGCCTCTAGTGGGCAAAACGCTTCCTTAAGGTCGGAGCGCTACGCAAGTAAACGTAGATCTACGTTTGGACAGTTTAAGGGTTAATAAAACGTCCTAAATGCTGTTGTATACGTGGCTTTAGCCTATAGTTACACGTGCCTTAATGCACAGGTAATTTTAAACACCCCTGTATATTTTACACACACAGCACAACACCACACAACCCACACCACACCACACCACACCACACACCACCCACACCACACCACCCACACCACACCATACCACACCACACCACACACACCACCACACCACACCACCCACACCCAACCACCCACACCACACCACCCACACCACCACCACACCACACCACCCACACCACACCACACACCACCACCCACACCACACCACCACACCACCCACACCACCACCCACCCACACACCACACCACACCACACCACCCACACCACACCACCCACCACCCACACCACACCCACCCCACACCACACCACCACCCACACCACACCACACCACAACCACCACACCACACACACACACACACACACACACACACACACACACACACACACACACACACACACACACACACACACACACACACACACAGGCAATCGTATATAGGTGAGTACACACAACAAAGTCCATTTAAAAGACATTATATACTAAGTCACAACAAACACTCCACTAATTGACACGATTTAAATCAATGCACCATCGCGATGATGTACTTCTGTCACAGTATTTCAGCTGGTTGGTTTATGGGGTTTAAAGCCTATCGACTACATGAGGGCCATTAAGGTTGCTGTGTAGCCTTAAAGTCCCTCATGTAGTCGACAGGCTTTTCACCTCCAGACAAAAATGTTTTAACCCCTGAGATAAATATATAAGCTGAGATTGATAGGTTAGGTTAGGTAAGGTTTGCCTTAGACATAAGATGACCGGCAGCTGGAGCTTTTGGTCATCTGACCGAGGCCATCCGCTGGCTTACCGGTCCACCCCTTTAAAAATTATGGTCATTATAACCATTTCTGTTGCTGTAGGTTGACGTTCTCCCTAACCTTATATACTGTGATATCTCCCAGTTAGGTTAGGTTAGGTAAGGTTCGTCAGGAAACAGGACAAGAGTTTCCTGACGCGGGTCTTAGTCAGATGATGACCCGCCTTTGGAGCTTTTAGTCATCTGACCGAGGCCTTCCGTTGGCTTACCGGTCCACCCCTTTAAAAATTATGGTCATTTATAACCATGATCCCCGCCCCAAAAACATCTGTAGCCTCACTGACTATAGATTCCTTTCGGCGACCAACAACATCCAACACAACTAGTGCCCAACAATGCCTCCCGAGCTCCCATGTCCACTATTTGCGTAACAATACTTTCTAACCCAGACAGCTGCTGGCATTACCAGAATATTATACATCAACTCCCAGACACACATAAATATTAATTTATAAAATATCGCTATATTATAAATCTTGCTTGAAAAACGCCACTCAAGCTATTTTCATCGAATTGCACGCAGTTTAAATTCATAGTGAATGCATTGTAATTTTACTGTAATAATAATAAAAATAATGTCAAGATTATATTGTAATGAGCGGTCGTTGGGTATCCTAGTTGCCTGAGCAGTTCACAATAGTCAACTGATATTCACTAAGGCGGTGGTGTGGGCGTAGGTGTCAATTTTCAACACAGCATAACAGCTGAAGTGACGTATCCTGAGATACGCTTTACAAGAAAAATTATGTGCAAACATTTGTGAAAGATGCGTATGTCAGTAGTGTTACTGTGCACTTGTGTAGTATACTTAGATAATCCCAGCTACGTCATTGCTAGCCAGGGAGCCTCTCTATAATGTAGCTGGGATTATCTAAGTATACTACACAAGTACACACAGTAACAATAACAAAAAAAGGCACAATACTGTGACTGGAACGATACACAAATAACCTGCACATAGAAGAGAGGAGCTTACGACTTTGTAAATGGTCCCAGTCGGACCGAAACGTCGTCGTAAGCTCCTCTCTTCTATGTGCTGGTTATTTGCGCACAGTAACACTACTGACATACTTACGCATCTTTTACAAATGTTTGCACATAATTCTTTTTGTCAGCATTTAACTCATGTTAAGAACATACATGGGTAAGGTAATTCATCATTGTGCTCTCAGTAACAGTAGCTCCAATGCAGGTGTACATTTACGTATATATACAAGTTTACATTAATTCCTATTTTTGTTACTATTTTGGTGACTTGCACTCTTAATGACCTAATGTGCTATCAACATTCTATAATCCTAACAAACACTATCAGCATACGTCAAAATATTACTCATACTGAAATATTAAGTATGACACAAGATACACTATAATTTCAAATTATTATTATTATTATTATTATTATTATTGGAGGTGCTAAGCCCGTATGGTGTCATACAGTGCCTGAGGAACGGGAGGTAATAAAGTTTAAAGATTTAAAATCAAGCAAAATGCAAATCTACAATAAATATTCTCGAGGTAGTCCAGTAAACAAATTGCCGAGTAGCCCGACTTAAACAAGTCCTTTGTTGAGTAGCTTTAAAATAAGTTAAGAGTACGTAGGTAAGTAAGAATGGGTGTATGAATGTCTAACTTAGGCAAGTAGTCCTATTTGCAATGTTTTATTATTCTTTTAAATCAAGACACCGAAGACAATCCCCGGATATCTCAAGACTTCACCAAAAACCGGCACTTTCGAGAAAAACCTTATAGCGAGTCAGCGGCGGATCTACTATGAAACTAATGAAGCTTAAGCTTCAGGGCCCCTAATCACGGAGGGATTAGGGGCCATGAGACCCTAATCCCTCCGGGATTAGGGTCTACTATATCAGAAGGTTTCTTTAATTACTATTATACAAAATAATGGTTAAAATAAAACTGAAAATGTATTATGTAGGCTAACCGCTCCTGGCTGCGAAGGCGGCTCCATACCAGTTCAAGCTTCAGGGCCACAAAAATGTAGGTCCACCACTGGCGACGGTTCGGTCCATCCTGAACCTTTGTTAAGGGTCCAGGATGGTCCACCACTGGCGACGGTTCGGTCCATCCTGAACCTTTGTTAAAGGTCCAGGATGGTCCGAAGAGTCGTCATAACATTCCTCTACAAAGTGCCGTTTTATTTTTGGTGAATTGTTCCAGCTACGACTTTATGATATTTTATTCTTTATGTGTGAAGAAGCTTGGACACCAGGGTACAGGAATACTCACGTATAATACAGAGGTTGTTGCCGGGTTTCTGTTGCCAGCCAGGACAACAAAAACTTTTGTGGCGTGAGCCGCACACGTTGGGTCTGCAACATAAACACAAAATTGTAATTTACCTGTCATTTTGATTATTTTTATTGATATTTAAATGTATAAATATAAAAAAATAAGGAAAATGTAACTAGTAATTTTATTATTATTATTATTATTATTATTATTATTATTATTATTATTATTATTATTATTATCACTTGGAAGCGATAATTTCCTATTGTGATATTGCAGCATCCGGGAAATAGGACGTAATCGGGTATGATCTGAGGAACGCTCAGGTAACGTAGAGAGAACTGATTTGGGGCTTGAAAAGGATATGGTACATTATTAATAGACATATGATACATTATATATAAAAAATAAGACACATTAAAGCCGGTTTTTAAGTTTCCATATTCGTAGCGAGTATTTATTAAGGGTGCTTCATCTAACACCCAACTAAACAAGAGTAAAACTGTTATATTATCCTCCTGCAATTCATTCTGTTTCTTTACACGATGTAAACAAACCTCTTGAAGAGCGAGACACTGTGTAGCAGATTCAAAAATAGCACAGTCAGTAAGTGTTAAGGAGTTCAGAGTGTATCAGTAGTGTGGAGAGGTTCAAGTGTTGTGCTTTCGAAGGGCGAAGGGCACTAATTGCGGCTGGCTAGCTGCTAAGGGAAAGCTTTCATCCACTAATGGACTTCTTGATGGTGGACAAATATGACGCAAGAAATGATGGCGTCTTGCAGGTGGCCATGTTGTGCTCCCAAGACCCGTTGCTGCTCCTACGCTAATCGACCCTGCATTATTATATTTATTTTATTTTCTAAGTAGTTTATTTATTCATGCACAGGTGGTTGCTTTTAAGTTAGGTTCAGTATTCCATTCAAAGATTTATTGAGTTTCATTGCTTGATCATTAAATTATTATTATTATTATTATTATTATCAAAACTATGCACTAAGCCTACAATGGTCATAAATCGATGCGGTGATCCTTCAATGACACGGATAAGGAAGGCAATAAAAGGTGTTTTATACTACGTTGATAATTAAAATCTTCGTTATCCGAACTGTGGAGACTAAAGATGTACTTTTCAGCAGACATATACGTAAGTACATTATTCACAGTTACACTAGTATACGTGAGGTGATTTACTAAAACATCCTCCACACCTAAGATGGGTTAATAATCATTCTTTTACGTACGTTGCTTATTTTATTACATATTTATGATGTACGGTGGTATTATTCGTGACTACCTTTCTGCGTAGCAGGGATTTTGTTTCAGCTCTTGTGCTCTTGTTAGGTAAAAGGAGACAAGTGCAACTGATCTGACATTTTGTGTGTGTGTGTGTACTCACCTAGTTGAGGTTGCAGGGGTCGAGTCCAAGCTCCTGGCCTCGCCAGTGTGTGTGTGTGTGTGTGTGTGTGTGTGTGTGTGTGTGTGTGTGTGTGTGTGTGTGTGTGTGTGTGTGTGTGTGTGTGTGTGTGTGTGTGTGTGTGTGCGTGCGTGCGTGCGCGCGCTCATCTCTTTGTGGTCGCAGGGGTCGAGTCATATCTGTGTGCGCACGCGCGTGTGCTTGTGTGTCTGCGTACTGTATACAAGTCTACTCCATTAACTTTTATAAAAGAGCCTCGAGGGATGAAGCTCTTCAAACCCCCAAAAGCTTCCTAGGGCAAAACGCCCACGCTGTCCATATTCCAAGCATTATCCTACCGACCTTCCTTCTGCGCAGGCAGAAATGACGGTGGACGCCCGTCATATTTCTCCCACCAGCTACTATCATATGCATGAATGTATAATGAAGCGGGTTGAGTTTTGAAGATAAAATCAAGATTGGATAAGCTAGCGCGCCCCTGCAACAAGTGAGGCTGATCCAAGGGATTACCTCAAGAATCGCTCTCTCCTTCAAGGAGGTAAGCAGTTATTCAAATTTTGATGCGCCAATTTTTAAATGTTACACGAAAATTAGTCTAACATAACCTAGCATTGTTAAAAATTTGCATACTATAATTTAGCTTGATTTACCTACCATATCTTCAAAAAATTTCAGTTTTAGCTGTTTTCCTTTGTAAATCTTCAGGTGATCTGAACCAAGATACCTGCCACTTCACTCTTTTATGTACCCGTTACACTAACTCCACTAACTCCTACTCTAACACGTCACCACACCTCAACTAATCTGTGACCATTAACCTAATGTTAAAATAAAGTATTATTTGTGAACTAAAACAAAAATGAAGTCAGGTTTACGAGGATTTACCAAAAACCACGAGAACATAATTATTATCAATATATATAGTTTGAATTAGCCCATGTTATACAGCCTATAGCAGGAACAATATGTTGAGAGGGTTCGTGGAGATGTGATGGTTGGAGTTAAACACACTTGTTGGATGGTAACACTTACATTAGCAGAGTGTGAAGAGGAGGAGCCCAGCTTGCCGTGTTGCCTGTATTTAGACCTAAGCATGGAGTGAGAGGGACAGCTTGTCCTACGCACTCATGTGGCATCACGTGACATCACACATACTAGTCATTCAATTCAATTCAAGTTTATTCTCTATAAGGGTTACAATGTGGGGTTTAAAGGTTTTGGGTATTGTGTGGTTTACATGTTATAAAACACCAATTAGAGGGGGCCCACTAGGACACCTAGCATGGCTAGGCATTTCGGGCAGACTTAGATTAAATCTTAACATTAAATCCTTAGAGATTATGGTATTAAGGCTAAGTGACTACATCATAATTTGTGAGTTTAGCAATGTGAATGCTTTTGTTTTGGCACAATACAAAGTGTCTATATTGGAGTATCATAGGCAAACTTATGACTAGTTAGGATTTATTATTTTAAGATTAAGATTAGTATTTCTGGGTTTATAGTCAGTGGGTGAGTGAGTGTAAGTGTGAACCACCAGGTGGTTATCATGTAGTTAGTTGTCGGGGTGTATCAGGGAGATAAGATGTTTTCTAACTGTAGTTTTGAAAGTGATGAATGTGTCTGCAGTTCTAGAGTTTTCAGGTAGGGTGTTCCAGATTTTAGGTCCTTTGAAATACATTGAATTTTTGTAAAGGTTTAGTCGAACACGGGGAATGTCATAGAGATGTTTGTGTCTGGTGTTATGCCTGTGGATCCTGTCACAACTATCAAGAAAACGTTTTAGGTCAAGGTTAATATTGGAATTTAAGGTCCTGTAGATATAGATTGCACAGTAGTAAGTGTAGATGCTCTGAACAGGGAGTAAGTTTAGATCTATGAAGAGTGGGGGGGGGGGTTGCCAGGGATGGGATTTAGTGATTATTCTTACTGCGGCTTTTTGTTGGGTTATTATTGGCTTTACGTGTGTTGCTGCAGTTGAACCCCAAGCACAGATAGCATAGGTGAGGTATGAATATGTAAGTGAATGGCATAGTGTGAGAAGGGCAGCTTGCGGCACGTAGTATCATATCTTGGAGAGGATCCCCACCGTTTTGGATTGAGCCTAGCTGAGCAGGGAGCCTAAATATATACATGGATGATACGATCTACAATATACTACACAAGTATACGTATAGGGAATTTAGTAGCTTACTGACATATAGACTATTGAAAACAGACTAGCCAACCCTACCTAGTCAGCTGGTATCATCATCACCCTCCAATTTCACGCCTGCCTTGGAGCCACAAGCTCCGCTTCCTCCTTTTTTTTTCCTAGCGTGGTGATACGTCAAATTAAGATACAATCTTCACATTTATACCTCCTCGTTAAGTGACGACGTGTTATATTACTTAAGCACCAACTGTTGAGAAATTCCTGCTAATGGGCCCTGAACAAACATGGGCGTTGCCTGTTAATGATATAGTGTCGACAGCTAAAGGAATTGACCCCCATTGCTAGCCTTGTGGAAAAATTTGTAACCAATAGGCACAACATTCTTCATCCAGTTAAATATTTGTTTTCTTTAATAAGAATAATTTACTGCATTTTTATTGTCAATATATCTATGCATCATACTATTTGGCCTTGTTGGGTTATTGTAAGCTAAATATTCATAATTTATCACCACTTTATATTTGTAATACTCACTTGTGTCAACTGTTGTAGAACTCTGAAACAACAGTCTGCAAAATACTTGAATAATTATCTAACGTAGACAAAGCCATTGACTTTCTTCATTTTTATATATTTCAACACGTCATGTCATCACGACTAAGATAATTTCATATATGTATTTCGAACTTGAATAACAATCAGTCATAACTGAGCCCTTTATCAAGTCACCCTTCTAGTGGGTGACTTGATAAAGGGCTCTTCTTCCAAGGAACTGAGGTTACCATTCCATGATAATCTACCCATGTTTGGATATATAAAACTATATTTTCCCGGGTGATCTTGCCACTCGGGAAGAGGGATTCATCACAGGATAGTAGCTCCAAAAAAATGTTAAGGGAATGTGAGCAGTACGTAATATTATTATTAATATTGTTACTATTAGTAGTAGCAGTAATTATTATTAATATATTTAAGTGGGATCACAAAACCTCTTAAAGGTCATTAAGCGCCAGGGGAAAAGAAGAAAATCAGATTCGATTTAAGGAGAGGGAGGATAGCTCCATTTATTTTAATGAAGAGACCTTCAAAAGCATCAAGACACCTCCACTGAAAGTGGGGAAGTCAGATGTTGTAGATTCAACGGTATAATCGTACGCAGTGCTATACCAATCTCACCACAGTGTGGTGAGATTGGTATAGCACTGTGTACCTTGTTCCAAGGTTCGTAGGTTCGAGTCTCCTTCAGCCAGAGATCAGTGTATATATATATATATATATATATATATATATATATATATATATACTGGGGACCCTCATCCTCAGAGAAAAGAATAAACTTGCTTCCGGGAAAACTCGAGGTTCTCCCTGAAGCTGTTTGAGAATTTTCACCTACCACTCCCTATATTTAATATATATTTTATTTAAAGACAAAATAATATTATATCTAACTTTGTTACCCTCGCATTTAGTTTCGATTCTAAATGATATATCTCTTCCTTTTCGTGACACCTG